AATATATAGATATTTAAATATAATTATATTATATATAATATTAATTTTCTTTTAATATGATAATTTCTTTTCTTAATGGTATATTATATATTTATTATTAATTCCTTATTTTAATTTTAAAATGTAATATTTAATTATCATTTTAATTGTATTATAACATTTTTATTAAAAATTTCATTTTTTTTTTAAAAAAAATATTTTTTATTTTGATTTACCATTAAATATATATCTTTATAATAATTATTCTTTTTATTATAAAACTAAAATATTAATTTTATTTATTATAATATTTATTTTTATTTATCATACTAATATTACAAAAAAATAATATTTTTTTTTAATATCCATTTGTATATTAATATCTATTTTTTTAATTTTATTTTATCTTTTTTATTTTTTTAATGAATTTAATAAATTTTTTGATTAGAAAATATTCATTTAAATTCCAAATAATTACAAAAATACAATTTAAAATCATACTAATGTTTAAAATATTTAAATTTTTTATTTATTATTATAATATTTATTCTTTTTTTATTATCATGAATATATTATTTTTATTTTTATTTATATTTATTTCTTTTTTTTATATTTAAGTAAACAATATTTTTTTTTTCAGAAAAATACAAAGTAAAATAAATTATATATAAAAAATATGTTTAAGCCTACTGCTTTAAAAGATTTTCTAGATTCTATTTTAGAATAAGAAAAACAATATTTTAATACACTTTTTCTTTCTAATTTAGAAGTTTAAATTATATCTACAAGTGATACAAGTAGATCAAATTATATTTATAACTTAATTTATTTATGGGAAGATTGTTGTTATGTAGCCTAATGTAAACTTTATGAATAAAACGATTATGAAGATGATAATTCTTAATAATTAGCAAATTAATAAATTTATTTATAGAAATAAATTTTAAAAACTGATAATGAAATTATTATCCTTTAAAATATTTAAAATTAGTTTATTTTCGGAGTTTTTGCAAAAAAAGATGTGAATTAAGCCCTTTTAATATAAAAAGTTGAAATTTTAAAGGATTTAATTGATTAATAAATTAAACAAATGTGATATAATACTATTGAAATTAATTTTGTTTATTTTAAACACAATTTTTTAAAAAATTAATTTTTTTATTTTTTTATATAAGAAATAATATCATTTTTTCAAAGTGTATTTAATATTTTATTTTTATTTAAAAAAAAAAAAAGTAAATAATAAATTTTTTAACATAATTTTTTACAATATTTATTTAGATTTTTTTTTTTAAAAAAAAAAGTATTTATAATTTTTAAATATTATTAAAAAAAATTGTATATACTTATTTTTGGGTATATTTTTTTTATTAGTTTATTATTTAATTTAATATCATTTGAAAGATAACACAGTATAATATAAATGTTAAATTATAAATTATTAAATATTTTATATATTATTTAAGACTATAAAATTTGTAAAACATTATATTAAATTTTAGTAAATAATCATTTAATTAAGAAATTTTAGTTTAGTTAATTATATTTTATTATAAAAAAATAATATAGAAATCTTATTCAGTTATTATTAAATAAATTTATTTTTATTAAATATTTTCAAAGAATTTATTATTTTTATTTATCTATAATATAAAATTATAAATATATATTATTTTATTTTTTATATTTACTCAAAATTTTATTTTTCTGTCTCTTTTTAAATAATTTTTATTTAGTTATTTAAATCTTTTAATTAAAAAAGTTAGAGAATACTAATAAATATTTAATTTTTTAAGTTTTTATTTTATTAAAAAGACTTGTTATTCTTTTAAATTTCCATATAATAATTTTTATATTCCACTTGAAAAAATAATTTTTCGTCTGCAGTTTTGAACGAAACTTTAATTATTTTCAGTTTTAAATTTAGAATTAAATAAAATTTTAAAACTAATAAATATTTTTTAATTATATTTTATGAAATTATCCCTTTTTTCTTCATTATTATTTAAAATTTAAATGAAATATAATAATTAATTTGATATAGTTTTAATACTTTATTATTTTCACTCGATATATATATAATTATTTAAACTTTATTTTTCTTATTTTTAATATTAAAATTATCATTTTTATTATATTTCAATTTCTTTTTATTGATTTTTAATTATTTTTATTTATATATATTATTATTATTATTATTTTTTACTTTTCAATAATTTATTAATGTTTATAATATATTTTTTATATTTATGTTTTTAAATTGGTTTATTGTTGTTGTGATATTTTTAATTCTTATTTTATAAATTATTTTTTATTATATTCAGTTATATTTTACCTTTTTATTCAAATTCATTTTTCATAAATATTTACGCCATTTTTTAAAAAGGTTTTTCTTATGAAAATTTAAGAGTATTTATCTAGAGGATTATAAGTAATTTTATTATTTTTTAATATTTTTAGAGTATATATTCAAGTAATATTTATCTTATTGAATATATTTATAGAGTATTATACATATATATACTAAATATATGCAACATTACTGTTTTTTTTTTAAATAAATTTTTTAAATTAATAATTTTTATTTAAAAATAATAAGTTTATATTAATTAATACTTTATCAATGATTGATATATTTATAAAAATTAAAATATAAATTAAATAAATATAATGAATATTTTTTTAAAAGTAACAATTTTAAAATTTTTATAAAGATGATAATTAAATTTTATTTAAATCAATTTTAAATTTTATTCTATAATTAAAAAAAAAATTATAATAATTTAAAGATTAATTATTAATTTTTTTTTTTTAAGTTTTTATTATTTTTATAAACTTATTTAATTATATATATTTCAAAATATATCTCTAATTGTATTTTAATAATTTATTATTTTAATTTTATTATGATTATTATTTTTTTAAATAAATAAAAAAATATTTCAAATATGTATTTTAAATAGTCACAATAAAATTAAATTATAATGCATAATTTAAATAAAATAAAATTAAACATATAAATATATAAAATGATTTCACAAAAAGCTTAATTATTTCGTTAATAAAAAAAAAAATAACTACATAAAATAAAAAATAAAAATATGTTCATTCATTTAATTTTAAATTAATAAATGAATTAAAAAACAATACAAAAAATTAAATAAAACAAAAAAATAAATTAATAAAATAAATAAAATTATGATTAAAACACAATTATAATAAATATTTATTAATTAAGAAAAAAACAAAAACAAAACAAAAACAAAACAAAAACAAAATCAAAACATAAAAGCAAAAAATAAAAACAAAACAAAACGTAAAAGCAAAAAAATAAATAAAATAAATGAAAACCTAAAATTCTCAAGAAGGCTTCATTAACTCCAAAGAAAAACGCTAAAACCAATCTCCAAGTCTATCCCAATAAATAAACAAAATCCGCCTTCAATATAGCAAGCTAATGTTAAAACTCGACTCAATGTTAGAGCATCATGTTACATTAATAATAATGGCTATAATAACATTATATGCTTTATTTGGTGATGACATTAGGGTATTAGTAACTGATAAAAACGGTGACAAAATATTTTGGATTCTAAATATTATTTGTATGTGTGTTTTTTTTATTGAAATTATTCTTGCGTGTTTCGCAAAACCAGATTATTTTAACAGTTTTTTCTTTTATTTGGATCTCATTTCTACCGTGTCTCTAATTTTCGATATTGGATGGATTTCAGATTCTATTTATAATACTTAAGACTCAAACCCTGATCTCTCTTCTTCTGGTTAGGGCTCCAGAAATCCCTCTTAAATAGCCCAAGCAGGTAAAACATCAAGAGTAGGTACCAAAGCTTCCCGAATAGTAAGAATTGTGAGGCTTATTAGGTTAGTAAAATTATATAAACATGCTCAAACGGCATTAAAATAATAAGAAAATCACCTTAAATAATTAGAAGAAGAGTAAAAATTGGAAGAATAAAATCAATAATCAAAAATGAAAGAAACATAATAAGCATTCTAATAAAATCATAAGAATTCTGGAGAAGAATAATAATTAAACAGCAATAATGATAGAAAAATTAAAAAAAATGGTATATTACCTCCTTTATAATAAACTTAAATAATAAATAAAGAAACTGAACAAACTAATTTAATTAATAATAACAATAATAGTTAAACTTAATAATAAAATAATGAAAACACCTAATAAAAAAACGAATAAATATAATATTAAATAAAAAATCATGAAAATCTCTTAGTAAAACCAAAAAACAATGAAAAAAAATTAGAAAATGTTAAATAGCCAGAAAACACTGAAAAAAATATTAAATCCAATCAAGAAATCCAAAACCGAAAAATCCTGAAAAAAATTAGCAAAATAAGTCAATAATAAAAAGCCGAAACTCCTTAAATAGTAGTCAATGAAACTAAACTAGGAAAATAATTATCTAATCTAACTACCCAAAGAGTAATAATTTTAGTTCTTTCAATTATGATAAGTGTTCCAGTTTTCACCCTCGAAACATACCGTGAGCCCACTACTAGTTATAATAATACAATGCCTAATATATATACCTAAGTAAAAGACTCTTTAATTTTAGAAAACTTTAATAAATATATCAATTTTCATAAAGATACTAGAACTCCTATACTTTATTTAGAACTTAAAACTATAAAAAAAATATATACTGAGCCTAATGTCAACATTTAAGCTTTAAGAAATGACGATAAATCTATTTATTCAATCAATAATTAAAGCAATGATAGTATAATCGAAGGTTTCGTAATAATTGACGTCAGGGAAGATAACTAACTAAATGCGATTCTTTCTATTATAAGAACTATTTTCGTCTCCATAGTTCTTTCTTCTGGAGCTATCTTCTTCTCACGAGACGTAGACATATTAATACTCGACCCAATTGAAAGTATGATAAAGAAAGTGCGCCGAATTTCGGAAAACCCTCTCGAAGCAGCCCAAATAGAAGAAAAGGAGGCCCTAGCCCTTGAGTAGCTTCTCTAATCAGGAAATTAAGTAGAAATAAAGCGCAGAAAGGAACTTGATGGTTATGAAACAGCCACTTTGGAAAAATTAATCATTAAAATTGGTGCCTTATTAGCTCTAGGCTTCGGAGAAGCAGGTTCTGAAATTATTGCCTAGAACATGAGTCATGGAGGAGATGTTGATCCTATGATTCCTGGTCGAAAAATAATTGCTATTTTCGGATTTTGCGATATTAGAAATTTTACGGATGCAACTGAAGTTTTGTAAACTGGTGTAATGCTTTTTGTCAATGAAATAGCAGAAATTACACATTCTACAGTGGATTCTTTCGGAGGTTAATCCAATAAAAATATAGGAGATGCTTTTCTTTTGGTTTGGAAGTTTTAAGAAAAAGACTATTTTTTGAATACTAAGGGATAACTAGAGTTAAAAGATGAGGAAAGAATAAAAAATTATGCCGATTTATCAGTTTTGGCTTTTCTCAAAATTATGGGAGGTATTACAGTTTCTAAAAAACTAATTAAATATAGAAAAAATTAAGGACTTAAATAAAGATTAGGGGGAAAATATACAGTCAAAATGGGCTTCGGATTACATGTTGGATGGGCTATAGAAGGTGCTATTGGTTCCAATTATAAAATCGATGCTAGTTATTTAAGTCCAAATGTAAATATGGCTTCCAGATTAGAAGCTGCTACTAAATAATTCGGAACAGGAATTCTTATTAGTGGAGATTTATAATAGATTTTGACTGAAAAGTGTAAAAAAGAGCTTAGATGGATCGATAGAGTTACTGTAAAAGGTTCCATAAACCCTATGGACTTATATACAGTAGATGTATCCTTAGATAATGTTGAAAAAAGAGTCGGTCATATCGACAAATTCGATGTAGTGTACTCAAATCCGATGCAAAAGAAGAAGGTAAGAGTCCTTGAAAGAATCTAAAGAAATAAATTAAAAGAAGAAATTTAAAAAGGTATTGCTTTCCCAGCAGATAAATTTTAAAATGATCATTAATTAATTGCTATGAGGGAATTCTTCAACGATGAATTTTACTCAGAATGGAATATTGGATTTTAAGCATATTTAAAAGGTAAATGGGATTTAGCGAAAAATTCGTTCTCAAAAACTCTTAATATGTTAGAATAATATGGAGTTAAAGATGGGCCTTCAAACACTTTATTGGATGTAATAAAAGAAAATAATGGAAGAGCTCCTGATGATTGGAAAGGTTTTAGAATTCTTACTGAAAAATGATATATTTTCTTAATATATATATATAAAATAAATTATAATTATAATCATAATTATAATTAAAATTATAATTATTATTTTTATTATTATAATTATTATTATAAATATTATTAAAATTATTATTATTATTATTATTATTATTATTATTATTATTATTATTAATATTATTATATATATTTTTTTAATTTTTTTTTATTTTTATAAATATTTTTTTTTATATATATTTTAAATTAAATCAATTTTATTATTATTAAATTTACATTTTTAATTTTTTTTTTTATTAATAAAAATTTAAGTTAAACTTATTTAAAATTTAAATTTATTATATTTATTAGTCTATTTTTATAAAAAATAGGATATATTTTAGAACTATTTTTTTTTATCAATATTAATTTTTATAATATAATATTAACTATATTCTTATTTATAAAGATGAAATTTTATAATATATATTTAAAACGAAAAAATAAAAAATTATTAAATATAACTTTTTTATTTTATATATTTTAAAAATAAGTAAATTAATTAATATTAAAAAAAAAAATTAAAATATATTAATAAAAAAATGAGAGGAACTACATGTTAAAAAGCCTTAGCAAATTGGGAAGCAGTTAATCCCGGTAAAAACCCAGCTGAAGCTGAAGAAATAAAGTTGATATTTTAGATTCCTCCAATTGAAAAAATGGACGGTCCAGTATTAAATACATTAACTAAATGCAAGAAATTATCTTTATCATCAAACAGTATAGACAAAATGATTCCTTTAAACATGTTAAGAAACTTAGAAATACTATCATTATCAAGAAATGTAATAAAGAAAATTAGTGGATTGGAAGATATAGGTTCTACTCTTCGTTAATTATGGATAAGTTATAATTTAATCGAAAAATTAGATGGATTAAATAATTGTGTTGTCCTTAATACTCTTTATATTGGAAATAATAGAATTAAAAATTGGGAAGAACTTGATAAACTAAAAGAACTACCTGAGCTTTCTGTTGTTCTATTTTATGGAAATCCCATGTATGATTTAGTTAAGGAAGATCCAAAATATTATGTTCTTAAAAAGCTTCCCACACTTAAAAATATTGACGGAACTATTATTGATGATAGTATTCTTGATAAAGTTAAATAAATAGCTGATATTCCTATATCTGCAAAGGCTTTATGAAACAAAAATAAAAATAAAAAAAGATATTTTATATATATATTATTGGTATATAAATAATAATTTTTTTTAAATATAAAAATTTATTATTATTTAAAAAATATACATACAAATTAATATTTTTAACATAAAGAAGCAATTCATTCATTTGATATACATTATTAACTTAAAATTTAAAGAACTTATTAAGAAATTTCTTCACTTTTATGAAAAAATAATTATTATATTGTTCCACTTATTTAATCTTTAATATAAATATATTAATTAAACAAGTTATAATCTTCATTTATTTCCAAATTTTAATATTCTACAGTTTATCCTATTTTTCTAAAAACATCCAACCAATCTTCTAATAATTCCACCTTTCCACTTTCCAAAATATAATAATCTAAAATAAACTTCATTCCTTCCATTACTTTAAACTTTTCTATTATAAATAAAGTTAATTAAAAATTAGATGTCAATACATAATTAGTTAAAAAATAAGTTAAAGATTCTTAAATAAGATTCCAATTTAAATAATGAGGATCAAAACACTCCATAATTTTCCCAAAAAGACCTTCTTTTAGAAATTATTTTTTTATTTCCCAATTTTAGCAAGCTGCAATGTTTGAAAGAACAAGCGCGGAAGCTTTAACGATATTTTCTTCTTCTTTTTATTCGAAAAGATATTATTTATAAGTACTTTAAGAACTCCTTTCTAGCATAAAATAAGAGTAAAATTCTCATCTTCTTTTTCTGTAATTTCAATGATAAATTTTAGAACTTTTTTCTTTAATGAGTAGTTGTTTTCTAATTCCAGAATTTACACAAAACCCTAAAAATGTTCATATTATAAATTTTCTAATAAAAAAGGGAAACATTTTATAAAAAAAGCCATACAATTATAAGAATATTTAACTACAATAGGATTTAAAAAAAGTAAGGAAAAATCTGATATATAAGGAAATAAAGGTAAAAGTAATTTTTATTATTAAATATCATTTAATTTATATGTAAGATTACTAAAAAAGAAAAGAAATACTTTAATTAATTCTTTTTATATATTTTTTATTTATAAGAAACTTTTTATAATTATCTCTATTTTTAATTTGAATAATTATTCTTATATTTCTTAATAATATTCCTTATCACATAAAAAATTGGCTAATGTATGAAAAATCTATTTGTATATATATATATATATAATATCGACTTTTTTTTTAATACATATTCTATTAAAATAGTTTCTTTTTCTTCTTTTTAAATTATTTCTTTTAATTTCCTTAATAAATTTTCTAAAAAAAATATTTTTTCGATTTCTTCTATGTGTTTTTTTTCCATATAATATGCTAAATTAGCTATTATTTTAATACTATTTATTTACATTAATTAATAATTATCATATTTAATATCCAAAAAGCTAACAAAATATTTATGTAAATTCATTTTTATCATTTTTTAATATAATAATTCTTATTCTTCGATTTATTTTTCATTGACATAAAATTTGCTTATTTTCTCCAATTAAATTAAAGCACTTTGTTAATTTTCTGGTTAATTTTATTAATAGATTAATTTAGCATTTTCGGTTATTTCGTTTTCGATTTATATATCTAAAATTTAATTAGAATTACATTATCTGATTTTCTAAAAATTTCTCGCAATTTTTTTACGTCTTATTTCAATTCTATATTCATTCTTTTTTTTTTAAATATAATCTTTTATTTAATCACTGTTATTTTTCATTTCTTACTAAAACATTTTTATTTTTAATTAAAAATTAAAAGAATTTTATATATTTTTTTGAAAGAATAAATTAATATTTTTACTTATTTATAATTATTATTATTTTTCAATTTTTTTTTTTTTTTTTTTTTTATATAAAAATCAAAATTTTAATTTTTTTTTTTTTTTTTTTTTTAGTATATTTTTTTAATGACTTTTATATATTTACAAAATAAAACAAAAAATTCATTTAATTTATAAATTTAAATAAAAAGTCAAAATTTTTAAATTATATACTATTCGTACCTTTATATCTATTATTTTTTAACTAAATTTAATATTTATTCAAGAATTTTCAAAATAATTTTATAAAATTAAGCTTATTTTTTTATTTAATCTAAGATTTACTTTATTTTCAAAAATTTGTGGTAATCTTCTTTATATTTTTTTATTATTAATAATTTACAATTTATTGATGGATATATACAAAATCTAACATATATCAACATTATATGAGATTTATAATCTTATTATATTGTTTTAAAAACCATTTCAATACAATTTTATATTTGGCTTATTCCTATATCTATTTTATATATTTATAGATCCAAAAAGAAATTCTGTTTTCATCATCGTTTTTAAAATTTTAAGTATCTTTTTTCATAATTTTCAACTAATTATTTTCTTATTGCTTATAATTGTAATAAGAAATGCATTTTATTATATAATTATACAAAAAATAAATACAATATTTTTTGCTAAAAAATAATTAAATTTTATTTTTTAAAACAAAAAAAACAAAAAAAAAATAAGTATTATAATTTTTAATTGGAAAAAAAAAAAAAAAAAATTCAATTATACTAAAAATAATTTTAAATAATAAAAATAACTGAATTATATACTTCTTCATTTTTATGATCTTATAAATCCATTAATTTTTCTTTAAAACCATTTTATAAAAGTAGCTCTAAAACTATATTTTTCCCATTTTATTCACAAGTATAATATTAAAAACTATTCAATAATTTCTAAATTCCTTTTAACAAACTTAAAAGTACTCCCGCATCATTATTTATTTAAAGCTCTTCTAAATAAAAACCTAAAATCTTGCTTTTTAAAATCAATAAACATTATTAATAATTCCCTTAATCGAATATATTTGCTAATAAGTACATTAATTCTTTTCTTATTGTATGATGAACGATTTAAAAGTCGTCAAAAAGTGTCTAAAAGATCCGATTTTGAATAAAATATTCTATACTTTAGCTATTTATAGAACATATATTACTACAAGCCCAACATATTTCTTTTAAAAGAAAATTATAATTTACATTCTTTTTATATAGAGTGAAAAAAGTATTAAAAACTTACAATATATTGCTCTAAATTAACAATTCAGTATATTTATTAGGCCCAGAAATAATCGTACACATAATTTTAATAATTTAGATATAAATTTACATATCATTTTAATTTTATTTTTTTGTTTTTTCCAAAAGCATTTAAACTAAATCTACATTTTTTTTTTATTATAAACCAAAAAACCTTTCTATAAAATAATCTTCCTTTTAAATTATTAAATGAATATTTTTGAGTATATTTTCAGCTGTTTAAGTTTCTTAATTTTCCCATATTAAATTAGTACATACTAAATCAAAATTTATATCAAAAAGTAATATATACTATTTATTTTTAAAATACAAAAGAAAAAAATAATAATATTTTATCTATTTTTTTTATTTTTTTAATACATCTTTTTTAGAAACTAAATCTTATTTGTTTTTTTTATTTATTTTAGTTAAAAAAACAGTCATTAATTAAACAAACCATCTTAAATTAGTTTCTGTTTTTGGGCCATAATTATCTTCTACTAAATATTTAAAACTATGAACTTAAAAAAGGGTTTCTATAAGCTCTTATTAGTAAAAAATATCTTTTATAATCTAACTTTCTCCTAATGCATTTGAGATTACAAAACAAGTCTTTTTTTTTTATTTATATTTTTTTTTCTTAACAAAATAATAATTAAATATTACTTCATCAATAATACTAATATCTTTTGAATGTAAAAACGAAATTAATTTATTTACAATTTTAATATTTATTTTTTGTTCTAAAATTTAAGGCTCTATATAAAAAATACTCCCGAGAAAACTTAAAATACCTTTTTCTAATGAAATTGGTATCTAAATATCTAATACATCAAAAAGTATTTATATAAAATCAAGTTTTGTAAACATTTATAAGCTTTTTTCATTTATTTCTTAATTTTAGTCAAATAAGTAATTATATGATTTATATATTTGTTCTTTTAATTGATTTATATTTTTAGATTATATTGATTAATATATATTTTATATTATTTTCTCTTTAAAATAGTCTTCCTCTTGTTTTTCGTTTTCGAATATTTACTCTATTATATATTAATTCTTTTATAGTGTATCTTATTTGATTTATTAATGAAATTTTCGAGACATCCTTATTTTTTCTTCGATTTTTTTGCGACGTATTTCTTATTAATGTGACTCCTTTTTTTTAATTAATATATTTTGGATTTAATTTGTTTATATTTCTGGATTTTATTGCATTTTTTAATTATTTTAATAAAAAAAAAAAAAAGAAACTATAAAGATTTGATTATTTAGTAAAAAAAAAGATAATTTTATATAATTAAAAAAACATTATTATTTATATTTATTTCAGTCAATTCTTTTTTTTAGAAAAAAAAAATATTAATATATATAAATATATTTATTAATGTTATATATATGTTTTTCTAATTAAATTTCAAGTTTAAAAAATCATTAATTTTCTGTGAGTTATTTATTTAAACTTATTAAGTACATAAAATTTTAAGAAAAATAAATATTTTTAATTAAAATTGATACAGATATTAAATACTTTTAATTTATTAACATGTACGTGTATTTATTTAAATTTTTACTATATAAAAACATAACTTTTTTTATTTTATTATAAAATTATTAGAAACTTATATAAAGAATAACATTTAATTAATATAATTTTTTTAAAAATAATATTAATCTTTTATATAAATTTTTTAGTTGTTAATTATTTTATATTTGAAAAAAAAAAAAAAAAATTATTTAATTTTTTATTTTTTTTTTCCATTTAAATTTATTTTTTGACTTAATAAAATAAAAAAATGGGATAAGAATAATCATAAGAATATAGATAATACTTAAATTGTAACTAAATAACAAATTAAAATAATTAAATAATACAAAATTAATAAAAATATCATGATAAAATACACACAAGTAACATATTTATTA